GCTTTCTACTCCCTTAAAGATTTACACCCTCGGAAACCCTGTACAGGGTCGCTATGGGTCAGAACCGACTCGACGGCACTTAACAACTATATATATATGTTTATGTGTGTGTATATATAAGTAAAGCCCCCAAAATTTTATTTCCATAAAAGCACATGTTGAGGTACCCATTGTGAAATTGTCCTAGTGTCCTATGGTGTGAGGCAGGTAGAAAGAAGGCTGCTATTTGCTGAAATGCCTTCCTCTCCCTCAAGTCCAAACTAAAACGGCTGCTCCTACAATGTCCCTGTTGTGCCAAGATTTCAGGACTGGAAGTGATCTCTTATAATCTAGGCCCAACCTGCTCTCAGAAAAGGAAACTGAGGCCCAGAGATGCTAAGTGACTTGCCCAATGTCACACGCTGAGTTAGTAGCTAGGACCAGGTACCTGCTCCAGTTCCTGCTCCCTCTCTGGGGCCTTGTGGTGTATTTACCCCTCTAAGGATGTTGATATGGACTTTTGGTAGCTGATTCTGTTCGGTTCCTCTGAGTTAGGACATTATCAGGGATGGTGACAAAGGTGCAAACAAATTGCTGGCTCAGGGTGCTTTTGCAGCTTTCTTTTAAAAAAGCAAATGCCATGTTAAAAATGTAACAGTACACAGAGATTTTTTTCTTTTTAAATGCAGTAATGATATAGCCCTACAAAGTAAAATGAGTTGGCCTGTATTACTTTTCCTCTGAACTTCCAAATGTGCTCCAGCTTTGAACTTTACTTCTCTGTCTCTGAGGCTTTCCCACACTTTCCTAGTGATGGAGAAAAGGACGGTATCCTTAACATTTCGTGGGGGGCTTTTCCTTCTCTTTAAATGTGTAAAGAAGATACAAATTCTGAAAGTGCTTCAGAGTGGGCCACCCCTCCAGGGTGGGGCCCCAGATGGATGAGCTTTGGCTCCACAGAGGAGTGGGGAATTTGTCCTGTAGAGAGAGGTAATGATGACTTCTGTCTAAATTCCCTGCTCCTGCCTCCTCTCCTTCCCTACAAGGATAATGGCCACGATTTGGGTTCTAAGGATCTTACTTTCATGTGTCCAAGTCAACAATCTGGAGAAATGGTAACTGATTTTTCCCCAGAGCCAGTGTGGATTTTGGCCAGGGGAGCAGTGAATGGACCTCACATACTTTCTCTTCTGCTGTCTGATCGAAGGCACATTTACCATAGCAACCGCTTTGGAGCACACACCACCTTTGAGCTGGAGATCGTTGTCCAAAGGAGCCACAGCTGGCAACTGTAATAGGATTTTTTGTGCTTGTTACCTTGCTCTGGGGAATGGCCCTTACTTAGAGGTTGTGGGCTGGTGGGGGAGGATGAGCCTGGGTGAGGAGCTGTGGAGAGGAGAAAAAAGTTTGGTGAAAAAGGATCCCAGTTTGTGAAATGCCGATTACTGGTGGCAGCTGGTTGGTGACTTTGGTTATATGAGTCAGCCCTGTGATTGTTCATTTCCACCATCTCCACCTGGCATCAAGGGTAAGAGGAGACACGCCAGGGAGTAGGAATTAGTGGATGGAGATGGGAAAGTAGAGTGAAGGAAGACTGTGGGCTACAAATGTATGATTACCTTTTCAGTTTCCATAGAACTATGTGGCTACATTTATAAAGGGAACATTCTGAGTTATGGCTGCTGGATCCTTTCGTTCTTTGTCTTCTGCTGCCTTTCGGCCTGAAGGGTCTAGTTCACGTTCAGGGTCCCTGCTGAATATCCCGCTTGTCTCCAGACACTGGGGCTCTAGCTCGCTCACACTTTGTTTTTCACACTTTTACATGAAACATCGTCACATCGCACAGTTTCATCAGGCGTGTTTCAAAATAATTGTCTAAAGATTGCTTCCTAATTTCTCTGAAATTTGGGGTTTATAGTAACTTTCAGGCCAAGCAATTGCATAATTACTTGTACTGTTTAACTTTGAAAATAGAGAAGGGTTCAGTGTTTGGTAGTTATTAGAAGTAAGAACTATTCCAGGTTGTTAAGAAATTAATTTTCTCCAGTACCCATTTGGGGCAGAATCTTCACATGGAAATTTCAAGCATTTTGTCAGAATGTTTTAATCCAATTGGATTTTTTGAAGTGTGTGGTATATGGGTTACCATATTATGGAAACAAATGGGCATGTAGGGTAAATGTTCATTAACAAAAGGAATTAACATTTGTCAGATGTTTCAACTAATCAAGCCCCACAAAGTTTTATTTCCTGTAACTGATACAACATCCTGTTTGTTATGATCCAGCTGTCTCTATACAGCTTTCTAAGGAGAGAGGGGATTATTATGCCTCATTGATATGATGCCTTGATTGCATGGACAAAGATTGGAAATTTATACAAGGGGTCAGTCTTACCTTCTCCCTTTCTCCTTCCCTCTTGCCAATCCAGTTGTGGTCAAGTCGATTCTGACTTATGGTGACCCCCATGTGTGTCAGAGTAGACATGTATATTCCACAGGGTTTCAGTGGCTGCTTTTCTGGAGAGAGATTGCCAGATCTTTATTCCAAGGCCCCTGGATAGACTTGAAACTCTAAATTTTTTGGTTAGCATCTCAGCACATTAAGTATTTGGGATCGCTAACCCCAATTCACTGACTTCTTAAAGCCTCCAAGACACACACCACCTGTTCCAATCTCCTTCCTTTCCCCAGTCTTCCTAATCTCAGTCTTTAATTCATAGGACTAGCTCCCTTTTCCTTCTAGTGTTTTTAAATGTATATGCTTCGTTCTTAGCTCCTTTCATCCTCTTACAAACGAGACCGCCAAGCAGCCGAGTTGTGCTGTTTGGCGGTGCTTGCATCTGTCTTGGCTATCCTGCCTGCAGCAGCCCAGTAAGCTGTGGGGTTAGGAGCCGCTCCCTGGGTACCACCCCCGGTGCCTTTGCTAGACAAAGACTTTCATTTAACTTCCTTTGTACCCGGCAAAAAACGATTCTGTACCAAAAATGGCAGTATTTTGGTATAGTATGTATCTTAGAAAGCAGCAAAAGGCTTCAAAAGTTCCTGCAATTTTATCTTGGGGGTTTCTTTTTGAAGTGGATGTGGAATTTTACCTTGGGGTGGATTTGTAGTGGTAGTTGGTCTTGTGTGTTTCGTTGTGTAATGAGCATCGAGGTGTGGGAGATAAGAAAGCAGCCTGGATCCTGAGGAACAAAGCCCACCAGATAGTGGTGGTGTACTTTTTTTGTTGTTATTGCTTCAACGACGAAAGAGCAGAGCACTCTTAGGAAATGTGCTGCACGATGGGTAGAACTTCAGACAAAGTCTTTGCTGTCTGTGCTGAGCAGATTGAAGGAGGACTGGAGGACGTGATGAAACTTTTGCTTTTTGTTGTTGAAGAGTTTTGGGAGAACCCACTCCGAATTATTACAACAGAAAACAACATTGAGAGGATTCTCTTCGTTACTGCTTGAGCATCTTTTGATGCGCTCTTTGGTCCCCGTAGTATTTCCCCTCTTCTGTGGTACTT